ACCCCACCCCTCCCCACCCCTCCCCACCCCTCCCCACCCCTCCCCACCCCTCCCCACCTCTCCCCACCTCCCCCCACCTCTCGGGCGCCTGGCCAACCGAGCGAGTCGAGTCGTACAGCTTGCCGCCCAGCGTGATGGCGACAAAGGCGTTGAAGGCGTTGGCGAGCGCGCGGTCTCCCCAGAGCAGCTTCCGCAGCGCGGCGCCTGCACGCCCGAGATGTGGGGAGGGGGAGATATGGGGAGATATCGCAGCGCCTGCAGGCCCGGGCAACCTCGGCTGGATAAACCTCGGCCAGATCTCGGCCAGACCTCGGCTAGACCTCGGCCAGATCTCGGCCAGATCTCGGCTAGACCTCGCCCTCCCAGACGATGTATCGGCTGCCCGCGCTCAGCTGCACATCAGCGCCCGCCTGCAGTAGGGGCAACGGGTCTCGGTGAGACCTCGGCTAAATCTCCGGCTGTATCTGCCGCCCGCCGGAGCAACGGATGTCACCCGAGTTTCCTCGGCTCGATCTCGGCCAGACCTCGGCCAGACCTCGGCCAGACCTCGGCCCGATCTCGGCTGCATCTCGGCTGCATCTCGGCTGCATCTCGCCTCGTCCCGAGCGGCGCTCGGCTCGTCCCGCGCCGTCATCGAGTGCAGGAAGGAGACCTGCCGAGGTGCGGCCGAGGTGCAGCCGAGGTGCAGCCGAGGTGCAGCCGAGGTGCAGCCGAGGTGCAGCCGAGGTGCAGCCGAGGTGCAGCCGAGGTGCGGCCGAGGTGCAGCCGAGGTGCAGCCGAGGTGCAGCCGAGGTGCAGCCGAGGTGCAGCCGAGGTGCAGCCGAGGTGCAGCCGAGGTGCAGCCGAGGTGCAGCCGAGGTGCAGCCGAGGTGCGGCCGAGGTGCAGCCGAGGTGCGGCCGAGGTGCAGCCGAGGTGCAGCCGAGGTGCAGCCGAGGTGTGGCCGAGGTGCGGCCGAAGTGTGGCCGAGGTGCAGCCGAGGTGCGGCCGAGGTGCGGCTGAGGTGCAGCCGAGGTGCAGCCGAGGTGCGGCCGAGGTGCAGCCGAGGTGTGGCCGAGGTGCAGCCGAGGTGCGGCCGAGGTGCAGCCGAGGTGCAGCCGAGGTGCAGCCGAGGTGCGGCTGAGGTGCAGCCGAGGTGCAGCCGAGGTGCGGCCGAGGTGCAGCCGAGGTGCGGCCGAGGTGCAGCCGAGGTGCAGCCCAGATGCGCTCGCCTCGCCATACAGCCCGCGGCCTCGCTCAATGACGACCTCGTGCTCGAGCGGCTCGTCGCCGTCGACGTGGTAGCCTGGGTCGCCCGCCCTCATCGTCGCCGTCGAGGTGATTCGGGCGGTGCCTAGTCGCAGGCTCCCCGGGAAAGTTTCCGAGAAGGTTCCGGGCTGTCGCCGTCGAGATGTGGCGGCGGCGGTGCCATCGAGCAGCAGGACGAGCGGCTGCTCCTTCCCTCGGTATGTGATCACCGTGGTGTCGACCTCGCACGTCTGCCAGCGGCCGGCGCTCAGCAGCTTCTTGAGCTGCCCGCGTGTCATATTCACCGCCGGATTCCCGGCAAAGTGGTTCTGGTACACCGCCTCCTCGGCGTTCTCCAGCCACACAAAGCGCTCGCGGGCGATGGTGAGCGCCGCCCAGCCGCTGAGAGCTGTGAACACGAGCAGCGACGGAGTGAATATCGCCGTCGCGAGCTCCACAGTGTCGCCTTTGAGCGCGAAGAAACGACTGCCCTTGGCTCCCGTCTCGGCGTGCACTAGTGCACGCCGAGCCCCGGTGGGCCAGCACTGCGAGAGAGGCGGGCGCGCCGCGTGCCTGGAGTGCGACCTGGCCGTCCGCAGGAGGAAACTCAACCTAGCTCGAAACGCCATCGGCCTTTTCCGAACAAATCGTGGCGGTTCCTGCCGGCTCTCCGCCACAACTAAGGGCGTACGCCCTTACCACAACCCCCGCCGGGAGGGAATCCCTGCTCACAGAAAAGGGCTCCGAGCCCTGTCTCGCGCACGCCCCTGGCGGGCGCCGCGGACCAGCTCCGCGAGCGCTCGTCAACGGGTGGTGTGCGGTTCTTGCCGTAGTTCCTCTTCGGTCGCCTAGCCCCGGCGCCGTCTGTCGGACGCCTGCGTGTCACGAGTGCGAGCCGCTCGCGGTTCGTACGCCCGCTTGCGGGTTCGAGTGGCGGGCCATCCCGCAAGCGCCAAGCGACACATGGCCGCCTCCTCGGCGGGTGCCCCTGTGATGTGCAACCCCATACGGCGCTGCAAGCCCCAACGGTACTTATCAGACCGGAGGCGCTTCTAGGACAGCGTCCTCTCTCATGTAGTGTGCTCCAGTGAATGACGCATGTGCAGGGGTGGGCCCCTCTTGGGACACTGAGCTCTGAGGTGCGCAAGACAGTGGACAAAAGCTGGTGATTAAGTTTTGTGTCTTTGACGATGCAAATTTCTATGAGACGATTCGTAGAAATAGCCCATGAATATTATGCCCTGAGCTTCATGAACCATATCCAGCGCGACACGCCTGAGAAGTGGCGAGCAATTCTTGCTTGTGGGCAGAGCTGCAGCGCAGTTTCCATCCAAAGCGCACACACTTTCTACGGTGCGGAGGACTACTCGCTTAACCCCAGTTTGGACATCGAATCGAAGAATCGTACATTTATCGTCCGAGCGAGCTGTTTTTGGAGGGCCGGATCGTGTTTCTGAGTGATTTTTAGGGCTAGGGAGGAGGAGCACTCGTGGGTTGGGCCACGACCCATCTGTTCACACCTTATTCATACCATTCTGCAGGACATAGTTTGGACATCCAAGCAAAAAATCACTATCAGGATGTCAGAATAGGGTTGATTTGATGATCGGAATCGATTCCAGCGCCAATTTTACGTCTAGGTACACCTTGCCCCGTCTTCACAGGGGTGCTCTAACGTCCGTACTCATTCTGCAGAACTAGCAGGGCGTGTGGGGAGGCCGGCGGCGGTGGCGACGACGACGGCGGCTGGGTGAAGTCAAATGGAGGACACCCGCCACGCTTGCCCACAGCTCGTCACCGAGCCGCGTCTTGTCGATGACCGCGCGGCGGCGGCGCTCGACGCGGGCCTGCTTTCAATGAGGGGTACCCTCTGGTTTGTCGGCTCGTCGGTTCAGCACGACGCTGCAGCGCCCCATCAGATAGTCAGTGCTGCTCGTCTTTTCCGTCAGCTTCTTGCTCGCCGCCAGCTTACTCTTCAGCAAGTCGTTCGAGCCACGGGCCACGTATGTGGCGGCACGGCGGCCTGGGGATTGGCGGCCAGCAGCAGATTGGCGGCCAGCAGGAGACGAGGGCAACTTTGCAGGCCTCATGTTTGCCGCTGCTCTGCGCAGCTCATAGGTGTTCACCGAGTCGTACGAGCGTGGTGTTGGGGAGCGGGAGCGGGGGAGAGCTCCTTCGAGGTGGGGCGAGCCTGGCGGCGCATACCCCTGCGACACATGCATATGCAGATGCAAATATGCAAGTGCAGATGCATGTGTAGATGCTTGAGTGCATGCAAGTGTAGATGCATGTGTAGATGCATGTGTAGATGCATATGTGCACGTGTCGCACCCCTCGACACAACGGCAGAGGCCGTGGGTGCGAGTGGGATTCAGAGATCTGGGGTCCAAGTTTGCAGCCAGGATGGGCAACCAGCCTCTCTCCAGCACTGCTGGTTGCGGAGGCGTTTGGGAGAGGGAAGAGGCCCGTTGGTGTGTCTTGGAAGTCATGCAAAGGTCGTGCAGCCGTCATTGCCGGGGTATGCCGAGGGGGCTTGGTGGGCGGTAAGCCGTCATTGCCCGACCTCAGTGCTCAGAGCGACACGCTCAACGACGACGACAACACGACGACACACGGACACGCGTCGACAACACGACGACAACACGACGACGACAAACAACAAAAAATCACTGGAAACCTTCTTCCACCCATCCCCTGAACTTGGCGCCGCACGACTCGCTCACCCGCCGAGCCCCTCTCTCCCCTCCCTCCACGTTTCAATGACCTGTCTCAACGCGATGTTGCTGACGAGCGCCGTGCTCGCGAGCATCGCACCGGTAACGGGGCTGGGCGCGGAGGCGGCGAGCGGGTACCGCTCCGCATACGTCCGGAACCACATCTCAATCGCCTCGCGCTCGTAGGTGTGGCCTGCGCGGCAATGGCGAGGGCGTGTGGTGGCGGCGGCGTAAGGGTGATGAGAGCGCAACGTCTCAGCCTCCTCCCAGCCTCTCTCTCCGCCTCTCTCTCTCGCGGCCGATCTCTCAATCGCGTCCAACACCTCACCGTCACATGTTGTCACCGGGTCGGTCATGACCTCTCCGAGCACGGGACACAGGTACTGCGGCGGCGCCGCGTCCGAACGCCTGGGGAGGCTCTTGCGGCGCCTGCGGCGCAAACACAGAATGCGCATTGGTTTGAGGACTCAATTCAGCCACGCGTCCGAGCGCCCCGGAAGGCTTGCGCGGCGCCTGCGAGCCGCCCGCCGCGGCACCTGCGGGCATGTCGCGGGCATGTCGCGGGCGTGTCATTGCAGCGTGCCGCGGCTGAGGCGGCACGTGTGCGAGGGGCGATCTCTCTCTCACCGAGGCGGCCGCTCCCCGGACGCCGGCTCGCACCCCGGCGGCGGCGCTGTGGGAAGCTTCCGAGACGCTGCCCACGAGCGATCGACCGAGCTTGCGCAGCAGCTTCAGCCGACTCCGGCTGCCGGGCTTTACCGCCTCCGCTGCCGTCGCCGCCGCACTCTCTGCCTCTACTCTCGCCGCCTCTCTCGCCGCCTCGGCCTCGCCGGCACGGAACGCGGGCAGGGCTCTGGAGAGGTCGCAGCGCCACGTGTACGGCCCGACTCCAGCCGGCTCCTCCGCCGCCGCCGCAAACGCCGCCGTCCGCGCGTGGGCCCGAGCGACCATCTCCTCTCCTGCTGCCGCCGCCCGCCGCGCCATCTGCTCACCCGCCGCGGTGATCCTGTTCGCCCGATCGTTGGCTGAGGGCTGAGCGCAGGCTGGTGCAGGCCCAAAGATTTCGTCCATCTCCTCCTCAGTCATGACCATTGGGCCGTCGTGTGCGAAAAGAATTTTGATTTGCCCACAACTGGGCACGGGACTGGCGCGAATCCCTGGGACCCTGTCGTGAGGGTGAACCCTGCCCAGCCCCCCTCCGTGTCGCGATGCGCTCCCCGCTCCCGTTCCCCGGTGTCCCTGATCGTCCTTACAAGATCCTGCTCGTGCAGGTGGGGACCCTGTCCTTCTCCCACCCCTCGTTTGGCGTGTCCGTTGTATTTATTTATTTATGGGACTGGCGCGCACTGGCACTAACACATGCGAAAAGAATTCAAAACCAATCTCTCTCACAGCAGACAGGCTCGACACAGGTGCGAACTGGCGCGTGCTAGAAAAGAATTTTAGAAGCTCACTCCGTCGCACAACACTCTCTCAACACTGCGAAAAGAATTTTGGAGACGCTAGAATCATACTAGCTCACAATCAGTGCTGGTGCAGCTGCTAATGAGACCGAAGTGCTCCTCGACTCCAATGAAAGTTGAAGGCGTCGCCACAGAACTCAGAGGAGAGGGGAGCCTCCTCCGGAGTGAGGATGATGGCGATCATATGTTTCTATGGACCACGGCAACAAAGCTACAAGTCTTTGAGATGGCGATGGCTGAACAAACCTTGAAGTCGACGTCAGGAGGGAGCCCGATAGGGGCAAAAAGAGTAGCTTATTGTGAGGCAATCGAGGCAGCGCGCAGCAAGACTGTCGACGACACGAGCGGTAGGGCGGCACAGCGGGCGTCGGGCAGCAAGCGTGCCCGGAGGGGGTAGTTTTTTGCTTGTTTGCTGTTGTACACCGCCTTGAGATGTAAAAATCACATATTCAGTAAGAGTCTGATGGGTATGACCACACTTGGAGAGGTGTACAGAATGTACAGAATGTGCAGAAGGTGTACAGAAGGTGTACAGAAGGTGTACAGAAGGTGTACAGAAGGTGTACAGAAGGTGTACAGAAGGCTTCTGGTCAAAATGCAGCTATTCAACCCTTCACCATTTGAGCAGGCCAGCTCCCCAGCCCTGGCTTAATTAGTAGTAGATCTAGATCTTTCAAATGTGCTGCTCTCAAATCTAGTCTGGTCCAGAATGGCGTCCGCGGTCCCGAGAAATTACGTAACAAAGGAATGTCTGGACGCTCCACAAACCCTATTTCAACTGCGCCATGGTAAACTACCCGGAGTCAGGGGACAAGATCAAAGTGCGAGCCAACGGCCACAGCGACTTGCGAGCGTGGCGCGTCTTCGAGCCAGTCATACGCGAGACTCAGCGCGCCTTGCAGGTCCCTCTCGAGGACATCTTCCTGTGCGAGGAGGCCGGCGTCGACGCTCAGGGCTTCCCGCTGCGCCAAGTCTACACATGCACGTACTGCAAAAAGGCGAAGTGCCAGGACCCGGTGCAGTACGACACGTTCGACGGCCACAGTGTCGACGGCACGGGCAACTGGATATACGAGAACAACGGCGTCGGCGAGGCTGTGCCCGAGCCGCTAGCCGCGCTGACCTCGGAAGAGCGCCTCCTCCTCGGTATCGTGAAGATGGCCGACGCCGCCTTCGAGCCGTCGTACTCGTCATGCGGCTACATGCACTTCTCCTCCGGCGCCTTCCTGCAACCCGGCGACTACCACGGACTGTCCACGCTGCTCGTCCGCACTCCTTCGCCCAATGACGGACTGCCGGTCACCATGAACGTGACTGTGCCGCAAAACGTCGCAACAGGAGGCGTCTTCTACGTCGACACACCCTCCGAGCTACAGATGGCTGTCACGGCTAGCGGGCCCGCCGGAACCGTCATGAACGTGCAGCTTCCGCGCGACCCAGCGAGCTCGCAGCGTCTGCAGCGTGCTCTCGCTCACCTACTCGACGAAGAGCACGGCAATCCGATCGTCCGCCAGACTCTCTCCTGCTTCGAACGCGAGCTAGCGCGCGTTCCAGACGATGTGTTTCCTAACGATGCAGGGACGGGCGCGCCAGTGTTGTGCGAGGGAGTTTTGTTGGAGCACTTGGAGCACTTGGACTGCAGTCATTAACCTCGAAGTTGTAAGATTCTTTCGACGCGCCAGTTCGCACCTGTGTCGAGCCTGTCTGCTGTGAGATAGAGTTGTTTTGTTTAAATTCTTTCGACTGCACGGAGCTAAGTGCCTCGCCACCCTCGCAGGAGTCGCTTAGGCGGCTCCCGTGGTGTACCTGTGTTCGTGCCAGTGCGCGCCAGTCCCGTGCCCAGTGTTGTGCGAGGGAGTTTTGTTGTAAGATTCTTTCGACTCCTCCATCTCGTGCCCACAGGATGTCGGCAGTGACGGCATTGCGCACGCTTTTCGCGGCCGTCGTTGTCGCGACCATCGCCGACGCCGGCCCCCTCCTTGGCCGCCTCCCGCTGCTCCGTGGTGGCGCGGACGAGCCGTCTCTCGGCGAGCCGCTGCTGCCTGCGAGGCCGATCGCTGCAAGGGCGGGCGGCTCGGCTGCGGGCGCGCGCGTTGCCAGGGGCAGCCGCGGGAGGCCAGCGCTGCGCGGTCGGAGCAGAGCTGCGCGCGGCCGCGGCCGCGGCCGCGGCCGTGGCCGGGGTCGAGGCGGCGACGAGAGGAGCACTCTCGAGAGCGCTTCAGGCCTTGTCGGAGACCTCGCACCAGAGGCCGAGACGGCCGCGGCCGCTCGCTCCGCCGGCGGCGCGATCGAGCGCGCGGCCGCCGGCGCCGCGCCGGCGCCGCTGCCGGAGGCCTCGCTCGAAGCCGAGTCGGCCGTTGGGACAGCGGCCACGCCCGCGGCCGAGACGGCAGGCTCGCGGGCAAGAGGAAGAGAGGCGGACGAGGAGGCGGTGCGCGCAGCGGTCTTGAGCTTGGTCCACTGGGAGGCGCCCGCCACGTCTGCAGCTGCCTTCGCCGCCGGCAACGCCGCCTTCGCCGCCGCCGTCTTTGGGCGCGTCGGCGCGACGGCCGCCGCCGCCGCCGCTTGCTTTTGGCTCGTCCTGCTCACTGTCCCGTTTGCTCTGGTGTACCGCGCCCTGGCTCCTGCGGCGGAGGCGGCGCCCGGCTCGGTGCCCCGCTCGCTCGCTGCGGTGGCCGAAGCCGTCGCCGAGGCGAGACCGCCGAGATCGAGCCGAGATCGAGCCGAGATCGAGCCGAGATGGAGGCGGGTGGGCACGGGATGTCGCCGAGACGCGTCCATGACACGTCCATGACACGTCCACGACACGTCCCCTCAGGCGATGCCGTGCCCCCTCCGGCCCGGGGGGCAGCTGCTCTCGCCCGCCGCCGCCGCCGCCGCCGCCGCCGCCGCCGCACGCGCACTCAACACCGCGTTCGACTCGGTGCGCTCGGCGGCCGCAGTCGAGTCTACCGCGCACACAGTGCGCGTGCTGCTCGCCGCGTGGGCCGTCAAGTGCGCCGGCGGCGCCTGCCACCTCCTGCCGCTGCTGTGGGCTCTCTTTGTCGGCGCCTTCTCGGCGCCGCTCTGGGCGCACCTCCAGGCGAGATTGTCCGAGATTGTCCGAGATTGTCCGAGATTGTCCGAGATTGTCCGAGATTGTCCGAGAGCCACCGCCGACACGTCCACTGGACGCGTCCACTGGACGCGAGGACGACTGGACATGTCCACTGGACACGTCCACTGGACGCGTGGACGACTGGACATATCCACTGGACACGTCCACTGGACGCGTGGACGACTGGACATATCCACTGGACACGTCCACTGGACGCGTGGACGACTGGACATGTAAACTGGACACGTCCACTGGACGCGTGGACGACAGGACATATCCACTGGACATGTCCACTGGACATGTGCACTGTCCGGACACGTCGGCGGGGGACACGTTGCGACTGACCCGCTCACTGGCGCGTTCTCCGGTTCGCCCCCCGGCGCCTCCTCCTGACTCGCGCGCCGCCACGCCCCCGCTGCCAGGCGACGCACGGCCAGCAGCTTCACGACTCCCTCGCGGCGCCGCTGCTGGTTCACGCGCGAGAGGCTGCGGCGGCGGCACGCACTGCGATGGCGGGCAGCCCGCTCGCCCGCTTTTTTGGCGAGGCGACGCCGCGCTAGGGGGGGGGGGGCGGTGTCGCCGTGGCGCGGCGTTCTAGCCGCGGGGGAGGAGAGGGGTGCGAGGCCGAGTGAGGAGGACGAGGAGGAGGAGCCGAGGGGAAGACAGCCTCCCGCGGCCACGCCAGCTGCCTCGCGTTTGCACACCTCTGCCATCGTTTGGTCCGCATCGACACGCGGGGCGGGCAGGCCGCACCGCCGCAGGCGCCCTCTTTTCGACCTCATCTCGTTCTCTCCCGGGCGGGCGCCATGCCCGATCGCGCGTGCTCTCCCATGGCTCTCCGTATATATTATCCATCGAGCACGGTTCCACCCTTTCCACACCTCCCCCTCGCCCAGAGCCCACACGGCCACAGCGGTTGTAGAGACATGCTTGCTGTGTAGACGGAGCGGAGTCTGGATAGCTCCGCGCGCGCGGCCCTGCCTGGGAGGCACTGGGGCCTCTCTGGGGGAGCATTCTACAATATCTAATTTTCAATCATGATATGTGGCCGGCGCGCCAAAATGAACAGGGCGGAACTCAGCCTCAGCCCGGCCGGCGCACCCACGCCATCGGCTCTGGCTCATGCACGCCGCACACGCCACAATCGGCGATCACCACCGGGTACGCCGGCCTGCCAGAGTCGTCCCCCTCCGGCGCCGCACACTGCTCCATGATCGCCAGCACCTCTGCGCCGCCGACCAGCTGCCTGCGAGGTGCGCCGACATCAGCTCAGCGCAAGTGCAGTGACACTCTGGGACGGCGATCTCTGCGACTCTCGCAAGGGCGCATCTACGTCCCGCTGCCCAAAGCCGACGTGTTTGCCCGTCAGGCGCGAGACGTCGCCAAACGTGAAGAAGAACTGCGACGTGTTCGTGTTTTTGCCGCTGTTGCCCATGGCGAGCATCCCTCGCTCGCCCAGCTTCACCTTGAGCCCTGCGGCGTCGTCCTTGAAGCCCTGCTTCTTGCCGGGAAAGACGCACTCGCCACCACTCCCATTGTTCTTGACAAAGTCGCCGCCCTGCGCCACAAAGCCCTTGATGCAGCGGTGGAAGTGGCAGCCCTTGTAGGTCATCTCGCACCCCGACTCTTGGCCCTTGCCTCGGTTGCCGAGCAGCAGCGCCACAAAGTTCTCGACCGCCAGAGGCGCAACCTCTGGCCACACCTCGACGTAGATGCGCTGCGGCGGCATCTTGACGGCGCAGCGGCCTCTGCCGCTCCACTCGAAATCGTTGGCGTACAGCTGCTCCTTGACGCGCTTGAGCTCGGAACCGCCAAGCTCCGGCAGCCAGTTTGACGTCAGCGAGTAGGCGAGGTTCTTTGCAGCCACAAAGTTAACGGCGCGCTGGTATGCCGCGCGCGAGTCGTTGATGTCGATGTCGAGCCAGCAGCGCAGCTTGCCGTCGACGACGTGCTTCTGAGCCTCGAGGTCGAGCATGTGCGGCAGCCGACAGCGGAGGCCGAGCGCGTCGTGGCGTACCCTTGCTTGGTGCTCTGTCCCCGGAAAGTGAGAATACTGTCCCGTTTTGCTGTTCACAGCTAGGGGACGGCCTCTGCGGCAAAGTCAAATCACCCCCACCACCTACCACCTCCCTCCCACAGGCAAACCTTCGGCTCCCGCTCAGAGGCTCGCCGCGCCCGTGCGGCGCGCCGAGGCGGCGCCGAGGCCGGCGCCTTGCACCCGGCCCGCGGCCGGCACCGCCTCGCCCCACAACTGACCGCCCTGCGGCCCCTGGCAGGCGTACCACAGGCGTCGCTCAAAAAGCGACGCCGGGTGTGGGCTGCTCCCTTGACCCGTCACCCGCCGCGCCCTCGCCCGGCCGCCTCACCGCTCACGGAGCGTGCTCGCCGCCGCCGCCGCGCGTCCCGCGCCGCCACGCATGCCCTCCTTTGCCTGACGCGCGCTCTGTGCAGCGGCGCAGAGCGCGCGTCCCTGGCACAGACGGAGCAGCGGCCGCGCCAGCGGTCGCTGCTCCGCCCCCCCGTCGCGCGCGCCGCGCGCGCGCTGCCGCCGCCGCCGCCGCCGCCGCCCCCTCCTCGCCGTCTTCCCCACCCTACCCTCTGTTGCGCGCGCCGCGCAGCCGCGCTGCGCGCCCCCGCCCCCGCCCCCGCCCCCGCTCCCAAGCGCCCCTTCCCCGGTGGGTGTGCGTAGAAAGTAGAACCAATCGAGAGGTGGCAGAAGCCGCCGTGTGTGACACATATTGCGGCACGTGAGAGTGAGACAGAGCCCCGGCAGCGGCCAGCGCGCGCGCGCACGAGCGGCCAGCGCAACAGGCGTTTCAAACAGCAAACGGGACGGCCTGCGCAGCCTCTAACTATTTCCAATCAAGTGCAGCCTGGGTGAACCTTCTTTTCTACCAGGCTAGGATTGAGAGCAGCCTCGCTCTCAATCCTAGAAGTCGAAGGATTGTGAGCAGCACTCCTCGCAATCGTAGCATCTCTGTGCGATTGTGAGCACCCACGCTCGCAATCCTACATCTTCTAGGACTAAGAGCAGCTCCGCTCCCAAGCAAGGCGACTGACTGGTGACGCCTACGACTACTACCAGCGCGCTCACAATCCGAGCAAACTCTAGGGTTGCGAGCAGCTTAGCTCACAATCCTGGCAACAGGCGCGGCGGCGCCGTCGACGCCGACGGACTAGTACAGCGCTCGCCCAACCCGCACCCAATTCAACCTAAAACTAAACTTATCCATACTTGATGCTAACCTACATCGCCCGCTCGCAACAGACGCTCGGGCGCGCCATCGCGGCCGGCTCCGCGCCAAGTGGCGGCGACGATACTCCAAACCGGCGAAGGCATGGGCAGCTCGAGGAGGCGACCGCTGGCCCTCTCCTGTCGGACTGATGGCCCGAAACAACTACCAAGACTTTGTCAAGCTCAACGTCTCTACCTGTGGCGCGGACCCACGCAACTGCGGAGGTGTTAATCGCTGTCGCCAAACAGCCAGGCGGAGGGCAACCTCGTTAGGAGGCTAGAGATCTCCCTTCCACCGAAGGGAGGATCGCCCTGCCACAGTTATGCGAGCGACGCCAGCTTGCGAGACGTTCAATTCGAGCATTCGGGCCGCGCGACCTATGGAGACCTAGTCAGAGGCAAGCGCGGGCGCTGCCCAAGCGGATCGCCGGCAACTAGTGCCGCCCGCGCCTGGCGCGACCGCCTTCAAGCGCGGGCGGCCCGTGACTTTGCTCCATCAAACGGGACAAGGCAAAACACAGTTGCACAGACACATGCCGGCGGCGCGACTCCCCCCCGCAGATCGTCCTAAGTGGGGGAGACCGCGACACCGGTGACGGAGCGCAGTTGGGAGTGTCTTTGGCTCACGCCAGGGCGCTCGTTGCTCCTCCGTCTCTTTGTATCTTCCATACTGCGTGTATCAGAACACGTATGGTTCTTGCACTTGTGCAAGATTGGGCGTCTTCTGCAGCAGTCCCTTTGTGCTTTGATGGGAGGCCCCAGGGTGGGGGCCACCTCGAACCCCTGGCCAGGGATTCGAGCGGAGGGTGCCCCGGATTCATCTATCCGTTGGGCCCCGGTACATTCATTAGAACTGATCACTTTGCGCAGCAGCCGTCCCTTCGCCGACTGGACGGCAGTGCGCTGCGCCGTCGCTCTGTCGTGCACGCTCTCGTGCTTCGTTGTGACCCACCCTGTCCCACCCGTGTGTGATCAGTGTCTACGGAGGGAGTGTCTTTGGCTCACGCCAGGGCGCTCGTTGCTCCTCCGTCTCTTTGTATCTTCCATACTGCGTTTATCAGAAGACTACCCTTGAATATATTCAGTTGGCAGCCTCACATCCAGGGCCGGGGAGCTAAGAAGCGCACCCAGCGGGCCGGATGATCGGGATCGGGTTGCGGGCAAGAGAGCCCTAGCCCCGGCTCGATGTTTTTCTTTTTCTCGCGATGTCCACCCCTCCGCGCCGCCGCTCGCGCCGCCTCGCCGCCGCCTCCACCGCCGCTCCCTCGCCAGTAACGCCGCCGCCCGCCCACTTCCTCGACCTTCCCACGGAGCTCCTCGTGCGCGCCATCTCTCGCTGCGACCCCGCCGACATCGCTCGCGTCGCGGCCGTCTCGCTGCTCTTCCACGCCTCGCTTGCGCTGGAGGCCATCCGCTTGTGGGCGCAAGAGCGCGGCTTCGAGCTGCCGGCGCTGCCAGAGGGTGAGGGCTGCCCCGTGCGGTGGCTGTGCTTTATGGCGCTGCTGTGCGAGTCCAACCCGCCGGCGAGGGCGGCGGCAGGCTCTTGGCACAGCCTCTTCATCGACGGCGAGGGGCGACTCTCGTCGTGCGGCAATGAGGCAACGGAGGGCGAGGAGGACGACGAGGACGACGAGGAGGAATATTCATGGCTCCTCGGCCACGGCGAGGGCGTGCCGCGGCTCAACACGCCGACCCGCCTCCCGTCGACGCTGGGCGGTGAGCGCGCCATGAGTGTGGCGGCTGGAGATTTCCACTGCCTGGCCCTCGCCGCCGACGGCAGTGTTTGGAGCTGGGGAGCTGGAGATGTCCAGCTGGGCCACGGCGACCATGAGGATCAGTGGCAGCCCAAGAAGATCGAGGCCTTTGCAGGGCAGCGCGTCGTCGCTGTGTCGGCCGGAAGGTTCCACAGCCTCGCCATCACCGCCGAGGGCGCCGTCTGGAGCTGGGGCCATGGAGGTGGGGGCAAGTTGGGCCACGGCGACCAGCAGCGCCAGCTGCTGCCGAAGAAGATCGAGGCCTTGACTGGCCAGCGCGTCGTCGCAGTCTCGACTGGAGCTAGTCACAGCCTCGCCATCACCGCCGACGGCGCCGTCTGGAGCTGGGGCGGGGGATATGCTGGCAGGTTGGGCCACCGCGACCAGCAGCACCAGCTGCTCCCCAAGAAGGTCGAGGCCTTGACTGGCCAGCGCGTCGTCACCGTGTCGGCTGGAGATCTGCACAGCCTCGCCATCACCGCCGACGGCGCCGTCTGGAGCTGGGGCGATGGAGGTTACGGCAAGCTGGGCCACGGCGACCGGCAGAACCAGCTGCTGCCCAAGAAGGTCGAGGCCTTCACTGGCCAGCGCGTCATCGCCGTGTCGGCTGGAAACGAACACAGCCTCGCCCTCACTGCCGACGGCGCTCTCTGGAGCTGGGGCTCTGGAGCCTTTGGCGAGCTGGGCCACGGCGACCAGCACGAACAGCTGCTGCCGAAGAAGGTCGAGGCCTTGGCGGGGCGGCGCGTCGTCGCTGTGTCTGCTGCACTCGTGCACAGCTTCGCCCTCACCGCCGATGGCGCTATCCTCTCCTGGGGCAAGGGTGAACGCGGCTGCCTAGGCCACGGAGAGGACCTGTCGGACCAGCTGCTCCCCAAGAAAATCGAGGCGTGGTCGCCGGGGCAGTGATGAGAAGGGCGTGGGCCTTGCACTCTCGAGGACTTTGAAAATGCCGCGGGGCTCCTCACCTCCGTGTCCGGCTGTAGAGATGCGAGGGTTTCCTTACATTACTTTACTTTTTACTTTTTTACTGCAAGAGTGAAGAGAGAGAAAGCGAGGAAGAACAGACGTCATAACTTCATACACTCATCGGCAACGCTCTGCCACCTTACGCGGGTTACGCTCACTCGCCTGGCCGCAGCTTCGTCTCCCTCCTTCTCCGCTCCGCCACCTCCGCCGCCCAAGCCTTGAGGTCGTCGGAAGGGTCTCCACCGCCGGCGCCGCCGGCGCCGCCCTCCCCCCCCCCCTCCGCCGCCCTGCCCTCCGCCGCCTCCCTCTCCGCCGCCTCCCTCTCCGCCGCCTCCCTCTCCGCCCGCTGGCGCGCGTGGTACGCCAAGCCGTTGACGCGCAGCCGCTCGATGTCGGAAAGCCCGTCCCTAATCATAAGTAAAAATAAACTACGCTCGCATATGGTGACCTGGTAGCATATGGGGTACCTGGGGCAACCTCGGGCACCCTCGGGCACCCTCGGGCAACCTCGGGCACTCTCGGGCAACCTCGGGCACTCTCGGCCACTCTCGGCCACTCTCGGCCACTCTCGGCCACTCTCGGCCACTCTCCACCTACCACCTCTCGCAGCGGTACTTCGGGTCGAGCCGCGCTGAAGTGCCTGGCGACGCCTTTGCCACGCCGCGGCCGGAGAGAAAGAAAGTGAAAGAAACAAGAAGCGCGACGGTGTTCTTCTTCTCCTGTGTTAGTGCTAGTCCCGCTTACGTACCGCAGGTAGGTAGGTAGAAAGGTGAAGAACAGCCAGGCTCGGACTGGACACCAACGCGGTATGGGTGGACGCGAGACAGATGATGACGACACGCACGAGCGACACACAGACACAAACAAGCTCACAAGACACACAGCCAGCTGGCTGCCACACACCCTGAGTTGGCGTACACATAACTCAGGGCCACATTCCTCCTGTCGCCCCCCCCAGCACTCCAAGGTGCCAAGAGAAACAAACAAGGGCACAACATCACAACAGACGACAGGAGGTAATATGCGAGGCTAGAGCAGGCTTGCTCGTCCTCTAGCAATCTCCGCCGACC